TCACTGGTGCCTACTGCATGGTATGCTTTTAAAAATACCATCTGAAAGAAGCCAAAATTAAAATAGGCATTACTACAAAACTACAGACCACGACCAAGGCAACTGTGCGTGACTGCCATGAGGTTTAGCATTCTTCTCCACGTTGTGATCCTTCTAAAAGTAATGGACTGTTCAGTAACATAACACCAGGGCATCAGTCTGTAGCCGGCCCTCTGGCAGGCAAGTGGAACACAGCAAAGACTTTTTTTTTTCTTTTTCCTTTTTTTTTTTTTTTTTTTTTTTTTTTGCAGTCCAGGCATTAAGGAATTAGTTGTGTGTTAGTTACTTGGGATTCTGTTTTTAGCTGCAGCATGTTTAATTACAAAGGGCTCAGAATTAAAATATGCCTAGAGAGGCAAAATCAAAAGCAAGCATTGTAGTCCTTGCCACAAAACAACTTCTCCTTTGGTGCTGATAGCCTTTTGTTGCATAGAGGAAGCATTGTATTTGGACTCATGGATTCCTTCCTCTCAGTCAAGAGTTAAGAATTACACTTTTCCCTTATGAAAACATTTTATTAACCCACAAAAAAAAAAAAAAAAAAAAAAAAAAACCCTGCAGGTAACCATGTCACAGCCAAAAGTTGTTCTTTTTCAAATCTAATTGCAAACACGGAATAGCCAAAAGCGAATATGGTTTTTAGATGCTCCAAAAGTTACTGTATTTTATCCAGCTCGGTTGTACATTCACATATGTTAGTAGACTAGTTATTATGTGCACCATTATTGGTTGTTCATTTGACAAGATGAGTCTGAGTTCAACTCTCCAGCTTTTGCAGGAACCATGAGCTTTTACCAACCGTGAAATGTATTCCACAGTACCTCTAGTGTAGGCTCTGAAATTTCATCAAAAGACGGGAAGTAGCCAAATTTCACTAACCCTTTGCTTCCCTCTTCAGATAGAATACTTGATCTAGTAACTATGGCGTGCTCATTTTAAAACACCAGCTGGAAACAGGATATCTATATCGCCTTTCTGAGGCTCAAGGAACATCACAGAATAGAAGACTGAAAGAATGTGAGAGCTACAGGTTAGGAGAGGGGAATGATTGGGAGTATCTCCAGACAGGACGTGCATCGCACATACGTACTCACTATAAATGCGATTCCAGCACAACGTGTATGTAAGATTAGATCCATCATGTCCCATCATGGATAAGAGATGGGCCATGGTTAATGCACAATGTCCTGAGAATGATGGGCAATTAATGGGTGTTGAAAGAGGGGGGTGACACTTGCTTCCACGATAAACTTTGCACATTCCAGTAAATAATTCTGGGCTCATGCTAAGGAATGCAAACCCAACTAAACTCAATGGGTCAAAGACAAAGATGTCAAAGTAGAGTGACTTTTCCAGGAAGAAGAAAGTTTTTAGTAGGCAAGAGAGAAGGATGAGCAAGCACAGTGGTTGGTGAAAACTCAGTGTACACATGTGTGTGTGAAATTGTCAAAGAATAATAAAAGTATAAAGGAATTGCCAGTGGATTATTATGAAATGCTGGCCATATCATTAGCTACATCTGTTGTTTTCCTATGGGGAAAAATAAATCAACAGAGTAATTTCAGTGGAGGCATTTGAAAGGAGAAAATGTAAAGATAAAAATGCTTAGCTTGGAGCAAGAGTGACAGTGATTTGAAATGCATTAACCCACAGATTCTAATCAGACTCATGATAGTAAACTTGTAGAATTAAATCAGACCTGGAAGCTCTCCCACATTCACAAGTTTGATGCGTTAATTATCACTTAGATATTAATCCTGTTAAGAACTCTAAATTAAGGACTTATGGTACAGCTAGGAAGCTCCATAGGGCTAAAGTGACTGTGGTTGCCTTTTAAAGTTACATGTTGGGGAATACCACCTTATTAAAACATAAAGACTTATGTTAAAGTCGTACTCAGAACTCTAGAATATGATGACCATGCAAGTGGTTTTGGGTAGTGTGATGCCGTTCTGTTGTTCAAGGCTCGGTCCTCCATGCTTTCTCTGCAAAGTACCTCTGAAGCTTGGTCACTAATCGTGTGTTCTTTTCTCCCCCCACCACTGGTATAGTTGACAACACTTAGAATTCTTTAATCTGTTTATCTTAATCATACACTTAATATATCGTATCATTTGTCATTTTGACTGTTCACTGAATAGGACCAGTCAACTATTCTCTATCCTGCTATTCAAGCCTTTCAATCAAAGTTATTACATTAATGCCTAATCTTTACAAAGGTGTGCAGAACATCCAAATTACAGTTTGGGCAAGATTGTTTTTCTATAAAAGAATTGTATTACTCTAGCTTCAACTTCTGAAGTACAATTAGAATGGAGTGACAGACTGAGAATTGTTCAGACGCTCCACTTGCATTAACTTCCATCCTAGCCTTTCATTCTGTCTCTTCAGTCAATGATTTAAAGACAAACTTTTCAATTTACAGATATAGTAAAAAACGAATTATTCCTTCATAAATAAGACTGGCAGCAAGTAGACAAAGTTCTCAACATCCTTTCTAAAGTAGAACATTTTAACAGCATCATTTTCCTTCCATCCTTCTCTTACTCTTGAAAAGCAAGCTCAGCCGAGAACAGAATTTCTGCATCTATTCACCAACTTATTAATGCCAGTCCTCAAAACAGCAGTCTGTGTTTACATGGCTCTTATGCTTGGTAATTATTCCCTATCTGTCTAACCTTTCAAGTTTTAACAAGCAACAAATTGGATGAAAAAAAAACAATGGAGCCAGATTAAGAAATATTGCAATGACCATTTTTTTTCAAGTATCAATTTAAATATTGAGGTAAATATTGAGTGAGTCTATTGTGTTTTCAACCTTACAATAGACCATATTTAGAATATATTCTAAACATCAGGCAACAGTCTCCAGCAGATCACATCTCCTAGCCCTTGTGAAATCTTCAGAACCCAAAAGGTCTGCAGGTATTCGCTGCTCTGGACCTGTCTGTGAAATCATGCAAGACTTCACCACATCTTCTAAACTGACAGTTACCCTCACAATTCTTTAGAAGCATATGTGTGAGCTGCCACATGACCAGAAAAAAAATCTTTCACTTAAACTGGCATGAAAGAGTTTCCAGTCCTCAGGTTCCAGCACAGTACACAATGACCAGGCAAAGTAGAAGCCAACCTAGATGGTCCCAATCCCTCCTGCTATTCCTCTACCCCAGACACAACAAGGAACTTGTCATGTTCTCAAAGAAAGCACTTGTTAGCATGAGTTTTAAAAACAGAAGTACATCAAAGGAAAGCCTCAAGATAGGAACTTTATGTAACCTTTAACCCACAAAGATCAGAGCATGCACTCACCACTGGACAGGGCTTCTTGATTTAGTTAGGAGTGTCCTTAAATGGCTCCCAGAAAGCCTTAACTGAGTATTGTCAAGATTTGGGGCATGAGGTTTCCTTGTAGACAATCTTCCCCCAATTACCCAGAGATCCCAGATTGCTTTCTGAAATGTCAGAAGAGGTACGATCTCTTGAACACTCAAAGAAAGCCTGGCAAAGGAAACTTCAGGTACACACAATGCACACCACACACACACACACACACACACACACACACACACACACACACACACCAGAGGTTGGTTGATGTGAACCCTGCTTGAATGGATTACCCCTATGATAATAATGAACACTCAAGATGTGTTGAGAAAACACTAGGTAGGCTCTTTCTATAAGAAGGCCACATACAAGAGCTTAAATGCACCTGAAGGTGGGAAGTAGCCAATTACTAACGGATCAACCATCATTAAAAAGAGCACCAGGAATCCCGGTGCTTTCTACAGAGTGACAAAGTCTCCTAATATCTCTGCAACTCCACTCAATGGACAGAATTGAATCACAGGCATTCTTAAGGGATGCTCACTCTATAAGAATTCCAAAAGAAAAAGTACCATTAGCTGGCCGGCCTGCCTCTATAAATGTGTGTGTGTGTGTGTGTGTGTGAGAGAGAGAGAGAGAGAGAGAGAGAGAGAGAGAGAGAGAGAGAGAGAGAGGGAGAGAGAGAGAGAGCTAGGGAATGCTTACAGGGAATGTTTACTGCCTTCCGACCCAACACACACACACACACACACACACACACACACACACACACGACACCACATTCAATCCAAGCTTTTCAACTTCAAGACTCAATGTATGGGGACCTAAAGAGCTGAGGTTTCATTTCCCTGTTCAAATAACTTTAATAGTACATAGAACGTGCAAGCTGCAAGGTGGGAGAGGCAGGAGATAGCATGCTTCTCCTCCTCCTTGCCTCCCATCTTAACATGCTGGACCTGCTTTTCCCCTCAAAAAAGCAATGTGGCATCATGTAAGACCTATGGACTCCCCTTTCCCCCAGGACCCTATCTCCTCACAGAGACCATGAACATGTAAACTGTTGCTGTGGCCTTCTGTCTTTGCACTGATAAATCAGAGGGCGCCCGCAAAACTTCTTGGCTTGATCAGGTAGCCCCTCAGGTCCCTGGGCATCCATGCGCAGATTTCGCAGTTCGGGCTACCCAAAGGGGACCCTTCAGTAGACCAGTTTAAAAAGCCCACAGAACTCCCTGCGCTTGGATCCAAAGGCTTCCTGCACAGGATGGGGAACCCCAACGTTCTCTTCATCGGGTCCCCACCAAGCAAGCTGGAGCTTTATGCTTTCTCATTTCAGTTGCCTGAGACCCATGCCCAAATTGCGTGCAGTGTTCCCGCCTGCCCTCTGGCTTAAAGGGTGTAAGCATGCTGCACCCTGGCAGCCAACCCTTCCCGCAGCCCAGAGCCAAAGGTTTACGTTCCAAGTTCCCGCGCCTGCCTGGGAGAAGGGAAAAGGGAGGCTGCCTGGCTAGGAAAGTCTGTGCGAAAGGCGCCCCCCTAGTCGGGGCAGCTGTCTCTTCCATCCCGGCTGGCCAGCCAAGGGAACCCGCGGCATCAGTCCCCGCCAGCTCGGGGCACAGCGCGGCCCCACTCACCAGCCTCGCCCGAGCCGCAGCTGCAGCCTCTGGGAGCTGCCAAGCTCCGAGCTTCCCCGGTGAAGATGGTGGTGTGTGTCGGGAGACCACCCATTCCAGCGTCTGGCAACCCGGCGGCGACTCTGGCTGCTCAGCACTGAGGCTGGAGGAAGAGGAGGACGAGGAGGAGGAGGAAGAAACGGCGCAGTCGGACGCCATCTGCTGTACACCTCTGCGCATCCATTGGCTGCCTGGTGCGTCCCCGGGAGCCGCGGGATGCCGGGCCGCGGGGAGCCACCTTGCGCCTAGCCTCCCGCAGCAGCTGCTCCGGTGCCCCTCCCTCAGCCCCCTTTCTCCTCCCTACCTCTCCTCCAGTCCCTCCTCCTGTTCTCCGGGTTAGTGCAGACCCCCCAGGGTTGGTTAACCAGCTCCCCTGAGCGAGCCGCCTGAGGTGCAACTGGCCTTAACCCCACCCCCACCCCAGGGCTCTCCTGTACCCCTCTATTCAACTGTTTTACAACTCTAAAGCTTCTGAGGTGCAGGTGCCATCTAGATGAGGGAGACTCCACAGCTGGGTTGAGCACCTGATGCCTCATCTACATCTACGGAGTGCTGCAGGGAACCACTGTGAGCCTTAGGGTGGTGAGCACAAGGGGAAATCCAAGGAAACGTGGGGCAGAGAGAGGAAAAGTGGTGGGTGGGCTTGCTGTTGGCACACTTGCTTTCAGGCACTAACTGAGCCAAACCTCAAGCTTCCAAGAGCTTCAGAGTTTCTCCGGGTGAGCAGAGAAAAAGACAAAGATCCCAGCAGGGCGTGTAGGAGAGGCATACTGGGGTATGCCACTGCTAGGAACCACTGGGTTACTAAAAGCATGCGACTTCTGGAGGCTGTCACTGCAAATCATTCAGGTACCTTGAAAGAGCCTTAGCTCTGGGACCTTTGCTTTGCAGGACTCCTGGTCCTAGAGAGAGTGTGCTGGAGGCACAGTGTGGGAAGTTCACCTAGGTAGGGATGCCAGAGGCAGCCAGGAGCTGGAGAGTCCTGGCCCTCCCAGGTGAGGCAGGTAGGAAAGCAGCCCAGACATCGCTCAGGCAGGCAAGAAACAGAGCTTCAGTTCTGAAGGTCCTTTGCCTACTCTGACGCTTGTTCCAAACCCTCCTGGTTTCTGACAGCTTTGATCCAGAGAACTTCTTAAGCTTGTTCAGAGAGATGAGGTCGCTTCAAAAAGAGAAAAGGAAAGGGGGGTGGGCAAAGTAAAGACTACCTATTGCCAATTACTGGGTATTTTCCTTGCCTTAGCTCTTTAAAAGTGTGAGCCCAGCCAGAGACAGCAGGGAATGTATCCTTCTTATTTTATCCAGTGCCTGGCACACCATGGGTGTCTAAAAAGAAGCAAAAATAATAATGATAAAATTAAAGCTTGATGTCATAGCACAAATTAAAGAGATAGAGTAGCTAGGATCTGCCACAGGGGGGGGGGACAAACAAATCAAAAGAATGTGTCATTTTAGTGAAAACGTGAATATTTTGGTGAGAGACTTGCTGTGGGGCTGGTTCTCAAAGTCGGACGCATTAGCACTGGAAGCAGCCAATTGCTGTTGTCCTGGTGAGCCCTGTGCTCACATTGAGGGCTATGCCTCTTTCTAGATCATTGCCTTAAAAATACATCAGCTGCCATCCAGATCTCTGAATATCTTCCCAAATCCAAGACCACATGATTTTGATTTGCTACTCCCAAGTGGTCAACAATGCCAAGGAGAAATGGGTCCATTATATTTTATTGTTTTATATAGAGATGGATATAGATATATAGATATAGATATAGCCAATGGGTTTCATTTGAGTAACTTGAGAAACAACAGCCAGAGAAAAACATGCCTGAAGTGTTCCACCAGGGATTTCCAGGTTTCAAGCTTTGCAGAGTAGATGCTGTATCTTCATGCCCGATCCCTGGCTCACACACTCAGATCACAAAGCTTGGCTATGCAACCTTTCTTGAATGGGCCATCAAAGGTGAGTTTCGACTATGTCATTCATGCACATCATCATCCTTAAACACCCCGCCCTTAGGAGGCATTGACTTGTACATTATTCTTTAGACTGGCGATTTGATTTGAACCTGAATTCTAAATTTAATAAGCAAGCTCCTCCTCACTAATCCCATAAACTACCTCAGCAATCACTTATGACGCTCATAAAAATACTTGGATTTCTTTTAAGACCCAGCTTTCCTCCTCTGTCTCTCCTATTTGGTCTCCCCATGTTCGGATCTAAAAATATAGGTAAAACTTATATCCCAATTACATCCTATGCATTGGGTTCTTTTCTGTGTGTGTGTGTGTGTGTGTACATTTGTGTGAGCATGCATGTAGGGCCTGAGGTCAACATCAGGCTCCTCCTTTACCACTCTCTACCTTATTTTTTTTTTCAGACAAGCTCTCCCATTGAACCTGGGGCTCACCAATACAGCTCTGCTGAGTTAGCCACTGAGCTGTCTCTGACCAGCTGCTTGGTTATAGGCCTATATCACTGCTCCTAGCTTTTTGCATGGCTGCTGGGGATCCCAACTCAGCTCGTGATATGCATACTGTACTGGCTCAGGCATCTTCCCAGCCCCTCTCTGCATTGGGGCTTCTTAAAAGAAAAGAAAAACAATTCAGAAGAATGACGTCCAAGTGAGCTCTAAATACAAAAGGCCCATGAGTATTAAGCACCATTACATCTCTCTCCCATTAGCCAGAGGACAGCCACTTCTCTTTAAGGCACCATGCTGACCATAGTATTTCAGGAAAGTCACCGTGTAAGATGGCAGAATTTTACCTGACATTGTATAATAATGCATAAATCTGGTAGAAGGGAAATGCAGAACAGAGATTCCTTCTAACATCATCTTTCCACCGCTAGCCCAAGCCCCGCGTTTATGTTCAAATGGGATTTAGTGAAATACAAATTCCTTCCTGAGATAGTCTGCTTTGGTCCTTAGAAAAGCACTGGCCTTAAAACATCTGCAGGAAGACAGGCAAAAAAGACTGTTAGGCAGGAACAGAGATTTTACAATATACAAGACCAGGGAAAGCATTTAGAAGAACATAGCCCTGAGAGTAGGTGGCATCATTATCTGTAAGGAACAGATCAATAAGGGTGGAAAATAAGCTGGAGGTTAGAAATTCCCATAACCCCCATACACAGATGGCAAAGGCGCCAGTCACCAACCTTTTAACAAGTGCAGAGGAAACAATAGAACAATAGAAGAGGAGAGGGCTGGATGCCTGTTGGGATTCATTCCCTAGTGCACAGAGAAGCTAGCTAGCACTATAGAGGAAAGTAACCCTTGCTACACGGGCACTGCTGGAGATGAAATGTTCATTTTGTTATTGCTGGGTATGGTTGCCTCTGCCATCTCTAAGCACCACGCTTTCCACCCGGTATAACAAGCTTGGGTGAGAAAAGCATCATGTAAGCAAAATAAACAAATAGCAACATTAAACAAGAGATAGAGAAGGCATGCTGATAAGGAAGCTCAATTGAAAACAGAAGTGAGGGATGCAAGTGCTGGTATCTCAGGCTTGCACCCAGGAAGTCTCGACTGAGTCTAGAATACCCACATGCAGGGAAACAGTGAGTTGAATCCAACAAGAGGTCACTTCTGGGGGAGCAGAACTGGAGGAGGAGGAAAGAGAGAAAAGGACTATGATTGTCTCATTTACACAATTCACTCGGTCCAATTCCAGGTTGGCTGAGATCCTGTGGCAAAACTGAACATTTTTTTTTTCTGCCAAAAAAGAGCATTTAGTATTGGCATAGATGTGCAAGTTTTGAGTTCGGTCCAGTCATTTGATTTTGATATGTCAACATCTTAAAATACAACCTAAAGATAACATCTTGAAAAGTAGTGCAACTAAACCTCTGTCCCAGCTCTACTGTACCAAGGCACCAAAGTGTCCCTAGAATACCCTCAGCAGCCCCAAACTTAGCCCAAACCCTTAGCCTTAGTTATGCAATCATAGATTTGCTGTGAACCTAATATATGCCTACTAACACAGTGTTAGGTGTTCAGTATCTGGCGATTTAGTTGGCTTATCCTCATGGAGCTTATTTTCTAACAGGAACAATAAACACACAGGCCTACATGTGGTTATGATCATTGCAGATGAAAGAAAACAAAGAGTTCTGTCTAAAAAGAAAAAAAAAAAAAGGAAAGCTAGGGACAAGTACAGGCAAACCCCTCAGAAGAAGTGATGGTTAAGCTCAGAAGAAATGGGGGAGGGATTTATTATGTCCTGTCCCAGATACTAGTTATTGAGCTAAGTCATTCTCACATACCACTTAATTCATACAATCATACCCGTGAGGCACACACTATTATCAGCCCCATTTGACAACAGAGCCATAGAGAATGCAAGCAGCTGAGTCACACAGCTGAGGAGTGACACTTGGATCTGACTACAGGCAGCCTGGTGCTGTGGGCATTCTCAACCACTAAGACATTTAATCTCTCTTGTACAGTTAGGCATCAGCCAAGATTGGTAGAGACACGAGATCACACGCCCAACCCTGTAAGTAAAAGAGCTGCCACATAACCAGTCAAGGAATGAAGTATCTGGAGTACAGCGGTGGTGAGGTCCATCAGGCAAGATGGGAGAGGCAGGCTGAGGGCAGACCTGGTCAGTCCTATAAGACAATGGGTAGTGTTAGCTGTCTTCTTGATATGATCTGATTTAGACGTAAAAAGATCAATCTAATCGGGTGCTCTACATAAGCCAAACAGATGTGTAACAGGAAAACCAGTGGTTCATGCAAAAGATAATGATGGCTTCCATGCAAAGGGAATTGGATTTGATGCCTATTGGGAAGGTATCAAACATTTTTTTTTTGGTTCTGTTTCTACCTCAAGTCTTACATCTAGTTGTTTGAGCATCTAAAATCTTAAAAGCAAACCAAAAGCAATCCTTAATTGGTCATGTCATTCACAGGGTGGTAGACGCAGTTTCTTGTCACATGCTTGTATGGTGTAGAAGGTCTATGTGGCAGTATGTCCCACCTATGGTATACTCTTCACTTCTTGGCAGTAGTCTAGAAGCCCCTCCCCCTAGCCCAATGCCCATGACCATCCCAGTCCTTTGATGGCTTCTCCTCCAGTATCATTTGCTAACTAAGAAATCTGA